TTTTTATAAAAAATTATTTATTATTATTATTATTATTATTATTATTATTATTATTATTATTACTTTTTTTTTGTTTTATTACCGTCGTAAATTAACGTAATTTTATGTTTCCTTTTTTTTTCTCCTTTTTTTCCTTTTAATTTTCCTTTTAACTAAACATTATTTTATTATTCTTGATGAACGCGCGCGTACAAGCTCTCCCCTTCTCCTCCATTTCCCTCTCTCTTTCCCTCGGGAAAATTTCGTTTTTTTTTTCAATGTTTTAAACGACTTTATGACGTATTCAATAATAATAATAATAATTATTATTATTATTATTATTATTTCTTCCTACAAATAACCGTCTCGTATGTTGTGTATACCCGGTTCAAGGTTTTCATTACGTAATTTCGTGAATCCTACGCGCGCTTTAAAAAAATTTCGGCAGAGAAACTCACGTAATAATAATGATAATAATAATAATAAGATACCTGAAAATTGACGTCGTCGCGTTCTAACCGATAATCGAAACAAAAAAAAAAAAAAAATTTCGTACGATGGCACGTAAACACACACACACACACACACGCACACACGGATAACACGTTTTATAATAATAATAATAATAATAATAAAACAAGCGTCTGGGCATTAAAATGACCTGAAAAACAAAAAAAAAACCGTCAATCAAATAAAAATGTTCCCATTCAGGTACATTGTAATCGTCTCCGTATAAATGTGTGCGTGTGCGTGTGCGTGTGCGTACGAAGAGAAACGAAAACAAACTCGATTATTATAAACCAGTTACTCAACGCATTCAATAATGATAATAATAATAATAATAATATTTGTATGGGTGATAAATTAAATATTAATATAAAATGAAAAATATATTTTCCAATTAATTATTATCATTATCATTAATTATTATACTTTCGTCTCATGTATGTATATATTATACGTAAGTTAAAATGGTGGATGGAAAGTTTAAAAAAAAAGATTTTAAAAAAATAAATAAAAGTTAACTCCCCACCTCACCCCTCCCTCCCCCTTGGGCAAAAAGAGTCGAAAGTTGTATTTCGGGTTTTTAGTTTTTTTTTTTTTTTAAACACAAAAAAACGCGAACGCGCGTTTTCCAAAAATAAATTAATGACGATGATGATTATTATTATTATTATGAAATTGTACTTTCAAGGTCACGAGGTTTCATTAATAAAAAAAAAAAAAAGACAACAAGATGATACGTTATCAATATCGGAGGGAGAAGGTGGGGTGTGGGGGTGGAGTAGAGAGAAAAGAAAAAAATTTCTTTTAAATCAAGGTCGGGTTTATACATTTCCACGTGTCAGTAGAATGCCAATGTCGCTTCACGTGTACCACCGGAAATAAAAATTGTCGTTTTTGTTTTAAAACGACGACGACGACGACGGGTTTTTCTCTTTTCGTCAAAGGAAAAGGAAAAAAGGAAATGACGTCATTTATTTATTAAATACTAGAGTAACGTCGATTGTTATCCATAAAGAATAAGTTTTGGGAAGTTAATTAATAAAAAATTTTTAAATAAAAACTGGAATCACAGTGTCTGTCTGTTTGTTTGTTTGCTCGTTCGTTCGTTTGTTTGTTTGTTTGTTTTGTTCTTTCATCGTTCGTTTGTTTTAATTTTATTGAAAAGAAAAATTTCTGTCGTTTTAAAAAAAAAAAAACTTTGAATTAAAATTTAAAAGTCGAAACGTGTCCTTGTTTGTTTTTTTTCTCCCCCGTTTTTCATTCGGTTTTTTCTAGAACTTTCTATTTTTTCCCCTCCCACGCGTTTTTCCCCTCCCCCTAACTTAAAAATAAAATTTTCCAAATCGTATATATCGTTAAAAAAAAAAAAAAAAAACTTAACGATTTAATTATTTTAATTAATTTTTTAACGAGACTCGAATGTGTTTGGATTAAATAATAATAATATTAATAATAATAATAATTTTTATTAAGGTTAAATATAAACAAATTAAAACGATTTGGCGGTAGTCGATTATAAAAAAGTGAGAGGTAAGGGGGGGGCGGGGGGCGGGGAGGGTAAAACAAAATTAATAATAATAATAATAATAATAATAAATTTCCTTAGTATTTAGAGAGAGATTTTTATATAAAAATGGCAGATGTCCAAAAATTAGAAAAAAAAAAAATTCCAGGTTTGATTTTATTTCTTATTCGTTTTATAAATATACGAAAAAATTATTATTATTATTACGTACGATGGAAATATCTGGAAGGAGAGAAAAAAAAAAATTGGCCGCAAGGGCGGAAAAAAAATTCTTTGCTAAGGTCATTCATTTATCTATGGGCGAAACGAAACGAAAAAAATTTTTTCTTTTTTTTTCTTTTTTTTTTTATTTTCAAGGTCACGTGTAAGTCCACGTAAGGTTAATATTTGATAATGATTTTCCACTTATCACTTCAAAAGTGATTAAAAAAAAAGTGAGCGACGATAACATAAGCGTCGTATGAAGATGTATTTATTAATTGTCCTTGTGGTAAAGGTCACGGTTTGCAATTGATTTTAAATCGGGTTATTTATTCACCCTCGATTCCCCCCCCCAATTACCCCCCCCCTCACCACCAACCATTTCGGGTCTTCGTCACGTCTGCCATTAATTTTTGTTTTTTCCGGGTAATGTAAAACATTTTTTTTTTTTTTTTTTGCCTGAGTTAAAAGAAAACCACAAAAACGAGGAAAAAAAATTTTTCACGGAATGAAAATTCATTCATTTCACTCACTCACCCTGCGCCCCCTGCCCCTTACCCCCGCCCCCTTCGCTCCCCACCCTGCCCCCTTTCCTACCTACCCAAACGATTTTATTCAGAGAATGTAAAACGATTACAAAATATTGACATTCCAAAAAAAAAAAAAAAAAATTTCACAGAATCCAATTAATAACGATGAGTTTTCGATTTACTTTTAAAAAATTTTACAATCGATTAAAATGACATTTGAGTTTATGTTTAACACAAAAACAAACAAATACCAGACGACAAACAACAATAGCAACAACAACAACAAACAATGACAACAAAAAAAATTTTTTTATTAAATTTTTTTCGTTTTGCCCTTTTGTAATTCAAAAAAAATTACGTAAAAAAAAAAAAATTAATTAATTACTTTTGTAACATCCAGATAACAACAACAACAACAACCAACAACAACCGCGATTAATTAATTAAAAAAATAAAAAAAAAATTTACAAATAAATAATAATTGGAATAATTACGTTACAAGACAAAAGAAAGAGAGAGAAAAAAAAACGCGCGCGAATTATTTTGTGACGTCATTTTAAAAAAAATGTCGTCTCGTGATTTAAATCGATATATCGAAATTACATCTCGTTCGATTAATTTTTTTTCGATAATAATGATGACAAAAAAATTTTTTTTTTTCCCAAACCTTTTTTTTTCCATTTTCATTCGCATACTCTCTTCTCCCTTCTCTCACTTTCTCCCCTCTTTTACAAAGCGGTTGTAAATTAATAAAAATGTGACGTCATTTCCGGATCCGACAGTAGATTGAAAAAAAAATTATTTATTTATTTACCTAAATTTCCAGGTGGTACCTGTTTTGATTTTTTAATCAACTTCTCTTATACGTGTGTGTGTGTGTGTGTAACTAATTACGAAATTTTTCTTTCTTTCTTTCTTTCTTTCTTTCGCGTTTTCATTATTAAATAATAATAATAATAATTAATTTCATAATTAAATAATGACGATGATGATGATAATTTTATAAAACGAATCCGACGCCATATTGTTTTGTTTCTTTGTTTTTGAAAAGGAATTTATATAATAAAATAATGTGAAGCGCGTACATCGATCGTAATCGATCATCGAATATTAATAATAATAATAATACTAATAATAATAATAATACTAATAATAATAATAAATTATAAAATTTTTTCAACAATGTTTAATTTTTATGTTAATGACACGTCATTTTTTTTTTTTTTTTTACCAATTTTTTTAAATTTGTTATATCACATTTCAAATGACTTTGTTTGTTTGTTTGTTTGCTTGTTACAGACATTAACCATTATTATTATTATTATTATCGTTTAGGTTAGTTAGTTAGCAAAAAAAAAAAAAAGTTTCGTTTGTTTGTTTGTTTGCATATTTCGTGGCTTTATTAATATTACTTAATAGTACGTTCCAATTAAATTTTTTTTTCTTTTTTTTTTTTTTGCAAACGAATAATCTAATGACACTTTTTTTACGTTTTTATTTATTTAAATGAATTTTTTTTTTTGAATTATTATTATAATTATTATTATTTGATGTTGTTGTGTCCAATTTGTTGTTTAAATTTAAACTTTTGTTTCATTATTATTAATTTTTTTTATTATTTCCACGATCATCCGAAAACATTTTGTTTGTTTGTTTGTTTTTTTTTAGTCGTCGTCCTCTGCGGTCGGTTAACGGTTAATGCGACAAAAAATAAATCTTTTTTTTTTTTTTTGACTTTTCTTTTTTACGAAAAAAAATGAAAAAACCCTGAAGGGCTTAATTAACGACGTGGAAGGAGAATTTTTCGTTTTTTTTTTACGTAATTATAGAATTTAAAAATGTTGTTTTACATAATTTTTTTTTTTTTTTTTGATGGATGAATTGTTTTTTTTTTTTAATAAAAGTGCGGTCAAATATCGGCGGCCTAAATGATATCATTAACGACGTGTATTTAACGAAAAAAAAAAAAAAAAATTCCTGCGTTATCATTAAAAAACCGTTTTCGGACCGATATCATTATTATCATTATGCGTACAAGACGCCATTTTGTATTTATTTCGTATTATCAATCAATCACTTTCACAAATATTTTATTATTATTTATAAATAAATAAATAAATAAATGAACCGTTGAATTAAAAAAATTTTTATGAACGGAGTCGTGTACGTTTTACGTGCGTGCGTGAGTGCGTACGTGCTTGCGCGCGTGTGCACGTGCGCGCGCACGTGCGTCTCGTCATTACATTTACGGAATGTAATTAACCCATCGAAAGGTTAGTTGCTTCATATGTACGTACATATATGTACGTTTTGTACGTTACGCTTTCACAAATTATAACTTTGAAAGGATTATTTTTTTTCAAAAATAAAAAAACAAACGAAAGAACAAACAAAATATTATTATTATTATTTAAATATTTATTTATATATATATAATAACTAAATTAACATTAAAAAAAAAAAAAAATTTATACAAACATGATTAAGACAAAGACAAAGACAAAAAAAAAAAAAAGGGAAAACACATCGCAAACATTCTCAAACATTCCAATAAAAAAAAAAAAAAATCATATATAATAAATTCCTCATTCGCAAACAAATTAAATTAATTTAATTAAACATTTTTATATGATTTTTGTTGCTTTTTTTATTTATTTATAAATGAAAAAAAGATGAGCCGAACGGGTGCGACGATGGTCTAAACGATCCGGGAAATGATGGTGGAAAATTTGACGATGGTGGCAAACCTGACGAGGGGAAAAAAAAACAAAAACAAAAAAAAATTATTTTGTGTACGGGGTGGGGGCGGGAACGAAAGGGGAGGGAACAACTATTATATTTACCCGCTCCTCTTGATCCTTTTGAACCTGGCGGTACGAAACCATAACCGGAAGCACCGACGATTACGCCACTAGTATCCCGACTTTCCGGAGCTGGAGGAAATATAACGGGACCTAAAGAAAATGAGAAAAATTTTTATACAATTCGACGTGATTATTATTATAATAGAATATAGAACAAAAAAGGAAACGGAAGTACAATCAAAGATGAGAGCAGAAAAAAGGCGGGAATGGGGAGAAGAAGGGGGGTGTTTTTTTTTTTTTGAAATCGAGTGATTAGATAATTAAATAAAAAAATTTTTTTTTTTTTTGATCGAATTGTTTATTGATAAAAGCAAATAATTTCTTTTTTCTTTTCTTTTCGTTTTTTTTTTGCTACACTTTATAAATTGCTAATGAACCGAAGCAAAGACAAAGAAAGAAAAAGAAAAAAAAAAACAAATTTCGAACGGATTTTTTTGTTTGTTAAATTTATTGACGTTTAATTACGTAATCACGAATTAAAAAAAAAAAAATTCCCTTCTCGTTTTGGGGGGGGGGGGGGGGGGAGCCCATTGAATTCAAGAAAAAGGCGCGAAGACAAAACCGGAAACGTTAAAAAAAAAAAAAAAGAAAAAAAATTATATGATGTTTGTGAACTTACCTGTATTGGTTGGAGAAGGACTGTTTCCAAATCCTTGGGATGATGATGAGGATGATGGCGAAGCTGAGCCAAAATCTGAAAATGGACTCACGAAACCCGATGGAAAAGTTGCTCCATAAAGAGCCGAACCGAATTGAGCAAAAGCAGAAGAAATGAAAACGGCGAAAACGAAAAAAATCTGAAAATAAAAGTGAAAGTTTTTCTTTTTTTTTTTTTTTTATTGTTTAATCCGATCACATTTCAAAATTACTCGTGACGTAATATTAATTATCCGTTATCAATTATTATTGATAACGCGCGTGAAAACGAAAAAAAAAAAAAAAAAAAAAAAAAAACTTATTTAAAAGGCGGTGGGAAAAACCGAAACCGCCTCTTCGACCGAATCCATTTTGGAAAATTTTACGTATTCTCTGATAAGAGAAAATGATAAGAAACATTTACCGTCGATGGTATGCCAACAATATACCACCACCACTACCACCACCGCCGTCGCCGCCGCAAAAAAAAATCCGCCGTATAAAGTACATTGTGACGTCATCACTTCCTCGTTCTCATTTTTTTTTGGTATTGTTACTTTTTCGTCCTTTTTTTTCCCCCCACCGTATTCTTCTACTCCTACCCTCACCCCCTCCCCAATAACCATCTCATCAGGGACGAAACCGGGGAGGGGGGTAAGGAAAATTTTTCAAAAAAAATAAATATTTTTATCAATGCCGACGACTTTGAAATGTTTTTTTTTTTTGTACATACATCAATGCATAACCTCCATGTATGATTGTCGATGATATGAGAGAGAGAGAAAGAAAAAGAGAGAAAGAGAGAGAGAGAGAGGGAGGGAGAGAAGATCGAGATTCATTATTAAAAACAACCATAATCCAGTTTTGAAAAAAAAAGAAAAAAAAAGAAAAAAACTTGAACTTGAATTCAGGTACGGGGACAAGGTCGACGTGGAAAAAGCTTTTTTTTTTTTTTTCTTTCAACCTCATTATCATCATCATCATTATTATCATTATCATTAAACGACTAGTACCACTATAGGAAAGTATAGTAATTAAATAATAATAATAATCAACGATTTTCAAGTTTCCAGTTATATGCAACCATTTATAGTAACATGCAATTATTATTATTATTATTATTAATTTTTTTAACGAACTTTTCGACTTGCGGTATAATAATAATAATAATAAGTATTATTATTATTGATCAGGATTTTCGCGGGTGTCAATCATAAAAGAGTCGTCGTCGTTGTCGTCGTCAGGGAAAAAAGTGAAAGTCGACCGGCCTTCTTTACGGGAAACCTCTTCTCCCCTTCCCCCTCCCCTCCCTTTCCCCCCGTTTTTTTTTCTTTTTGGAAATCCCATCTCGTTCGAAATCGACAAAAAAAAAAAAAAAAAAATAGAAAACGAGTTCAAGATTATTCGAAAGGATTTTGTATTATTTTCGTTTGTTTGTTTGTTTGTTTGTCGTGTTTTACTATTATTATTATTATTGTTCACGTAACAAATGGTAATTATTATTATTATTATGACCATTGGCAAGGTTACAAACGGATTAATATTTGACCCAATTAATTAATTTAATGCGGGTGAACATCTTTTTCGATTAGGTCACCGCGAAATTTTTCAATTAAAAAAAATCACGTTTAAATAATAATTCGGTTCGCGATTGTTTAAATCCCCCCGTCCCCCGTCCCCCCTCCCCCAACAGTATTTGACCTTTGTTAATTACACGTTTCATAATTTTTTAGAGAGAGAGAGAGAAAGAGAGAGACTTCCATCTCATTGTTAAATAGTAATTTAAATTTATTATTATATAACGTATATAATATTTGTCATTGTCCTCCGTCCGTCCGTCCGTCCGTGATACGTCATCATAACGCCGCGTAAACTCCCCTAATGCACGTTTCGTTTGTTTGTTTGTTTGTTTTCGTCCATTTGGCAACATTCGCGTGTTTGTACATAACGTAACAACGAGAGTGATTAACAACAATAGTATGTGCAACCGAATGGCGTCAAAGGCGAAACGTTACACTTCGAAAGGTGTCAGACGATAAAAACGCGGGAAATTTAAAATTTAAATGATCGGTTGGGGAGAATGGAAAAAAGCGCGGGAAATTTAAAAATGTTTCATTTTTACCCTCTCGTTACCCATCAATCGTTTTGTTGTTTTTCTTATTTCTTTTATTTTTTTTTTGTTGTCGCGTTTGTCGTGTTTGTCGCGTTTGTTGTTGTTTGCGGTTGTTGTTTCGTGAAATATAAAATATTTTAATTATGAAAATTTAAATAAATAAAAGTTAAAAACGAAAAGGAAAATTAAATAAGAATTTTGAGGTCATTAACATAAGTGTTGTTTGACCTTAATCTTAAACGCGTAAAGTTTTCAATCAATCACATTTCTAAGAAAAAAAATTTCGAAAAAAAAAAAAACCGGAAGTGAAGAAAAGCGAATGAAAATATTTAAAAAATTATTATTATTATTATTGTTCTTTTACGCGAAGTTTAGAGCCGACACCGTCCCTTCGCCCCCGTTACCGAGAAATTATTAATATTATTATTATTATTTGGGGAGATGATTTATAAATGAAAATTTTATCGTCGGAATATTGCGATGATTGTCTCCTTCCACGTTTCTATAATATATATATACGCATTTATATGTAAAAACGAAAAGGAAAAAAATTTCTTTTTTTTAAAATAATATTTGAACTTATTTTTTTTTACGATTGTGCGGTCTCGAAAAATTTACCACAATCACGTGATCGTACCTGATCAAATTTTTCGTAATAATAATTTATCCGGTGGTTAAAAATATTCGGTGACTTATGACAACCTCAAACTAACTCTCTCATCGACACCAAAAAAAAAGTAAAAACCTTTAATTTTACATTAAATTATTAAGAAAAACAAAAACAAAAAAACCACGCTTTCATTTCCCATTTTTAAAATAATAATATTTAATTTTTAAATTTTTTTTAGAACTTTCTAGTTTTTTTTTTTATCTTCTCATATTAAATACATGTCGGGAAATTTATAATAAAACGTGTTAAATTAAAAACGTGGCAGGAGAATACGTAAAAAACAAAACAAAAAAAGCGTTTGTTCAAAACGTCGTATATGTGAACGAGTTTAAAAAATAAATAAATTATTATTATCATCAAGCGAACGCGTGTTTATAATCGATCGAACTATCGATGGATCGATCGATGGATCGATAGATCGATATAAAATTTAATTATGCGATATTTAACCTAATAAAATACATTTAAAAAAAAAATTTTTTGGTGGAATTTATAAATGATAGTAGCTTGTGTGCGTGTCTTTAGGCGTACAATTTCGAACGTTTCAAACTTTCATTTTTCTATATTTTTTTTTTCGTTTCGTTTTTGTAACAAAAAAAAAAAAAAAAAAAAATGGAAAAAATTATTGCCACGAATAATAAGAAACCGGGAAATGATGACGTAAAACGGGGAGGGGGGCCAAAAAAAAATTTCATAGAGATAATAAACAAGAAAATGGTTAGTCGTCGTTAAATATTAAAATACTTGACGAGGTCGCGTTGGAAAATGAGCAAGAGAGAGATAGAGAGAGAGTGAGAGAGAGAGAGAAATAGGGAAAAAAATAAAGAAAAGAAAAGTTATTAATAATAATAATAATAATAATAATAATAATAATAAATGGCGAGAATGACGAAAATAAAAATAAAAAAAAAAAAACACATAAAATCGTAATCGGGCAATTAATTCAAATTGCACGGAAATTACACACGTTGGTAGTAGTAGTAACGGTTCTTTTTTTTTTCCTTTTAAATTAAAATTATCGCTATCGAGAAAAGCGGATTAAGATAATCCTTAATTCGTGCCTGAATGCGTACGCGTATATACCCTGCTAACATTTCAGGTACGAAATACTATTATTAATAACGATATAAAATAATATTTGATTTTTTTTTTTCAAATTTAAATTTTAATTTAAATTTAACGAGGTTTCGAAGGGATTTTTTTTTAAATTACAACCGGAAGTAATCGAATCGGAATTGAAAAAAAAAAACCGGAAAGGGAAATAATTAATACTTGAATATATTTTTTGGGAATCATTTTTTTTTAATTGGGAAATCTAAACGCGAATAAGTTTGTTTTGTTAGAGATTTAAAAAAATTTTCAGGGGGAAAAAAAAAAATTGAAAAGAGAGGGAGAGAGGGGGGAGGTTTTACCCTCCTCCTTCCGCCCCCCAAAAAAAACAAATAAATAATGAAAAACTTACCGATTTAAATAACATGTTGAATGTGACTAGTTTTTTTTCCTACACGGTTGATTGAATTTATTTAATCTTCTATTAAAATAAATAACAAACACGAACAAACAACCAATTTTTTTTTTTTTTTTCTAATTTTTCCTTTTTTGTCACAATGAAGCCATTAAAAACAAACGAATAACAACAACAACAACCTGAAACGAGACAAATAAAAAAATTACTATTATCATCATCATTATCATCATTGCAAAATTTTCAGGTACGAAAGAAAAATTCGATTTATGCATGTATATATGTATATAATTACATAAGTTAAATTCCTTTCAACCCCGAAAACATTTTTTTTTTTTTTTTTTTTTCGTAAACCGGAAATAATTCAAGGTTCGTACACGCACTCACGCACTCACTCTCGCGCTCGTTCGCTCGCTCGCTCACGCGCACACACACTCTTTATCGTACAAAAACAAGCAGAAAACAAACGACAATGTACAAATAAATAGACTTTCATTTAACTCTAATTATGATTTTTTTTTTTTTTGTATAAAAAAAAAGAAAGAAAAATAATAATAATAATAATAATAATAATAATAATAATAATAATAATAATAATAGTTGTAGTAGTAGTAGTAATAATGATAATGATAATGATAATTACCGGATCCATATCTCTATAATACGTTGTTACTCTTTTGATAATTACGATAAGTATACATACGATATTTTATACCTTCTTTATAATTATAAACCTTATACCTGACGTACGCAAACGCACACGCACGCACATGCGTACGTATACGCCGCACGCACGATATTATTGCCCAAAAGCAAAAAACCTTCATTTTTTTTTTCGTTTTTTTTTTTTGTTTTTTTGTTTTCTCACTCTACCACACGTATATAATATAACTCTCTTTATTATCATTATCATTACTATTATTAATATTATCATTATTATTATTTAAATATAAATATACGAAGTTTGAGGGGGGGGGTGTATGCGAAACGCACGCACTCACAATATACAGCTTTCTTTAAACGGAAATTTTTATTTCATTTTTTTCCTTATACTTCTTTCTTCTCTTTCCGGTTTTTTAAAAATAAATAATAATTATTATCATTATCATTATCATCATTATCG